TCGCTCCGTTCATCCTTTTCAGATACATTCCTGCCAGCGTTTACTACGAAGGAGTGGTAGGATACAATGAGCAAGCGATCGTGTTTTTATTACACTCTCTCTCTCTCTCTCTCTCTCGCTCCGTTCATCCTTTTCAGATACATAGGCAAATGGAGATACGCAAAGGCGTGCCGCAACACGAGCACTCATACACGGGTCTCGTACAGCCGCAGACATTCGGGAGTAAGGAGAATTTGCTCCGAGTTATAGGAATTTTTGTGAGCCTGCGGCAAGTTCGGTATTTACGCCAACGAAATACCGTATCCGTTCGGCAACGGAAGCATAAAATATAGTAACAATAACTCACAATTCCTATTATACATACAATGGATATGTCACGCTCTCATGAGTTATTAAGTTGTTAATTCGTACAAGAGAATTCAAGTTTAGCATCAGCGTCCGTGTGTTCCGCATGTTTATTACCGTGAAGAATTGAAATTTTTCGAAGCAGAAGGTGAGTCCAGGCCGATATCCATGCACTACAGGTGTATCTGGTTACACTTGTCGGATCGCTTCCAGCTCGCGTGTGCTCGTTCGCACGGGTACAAGCTTCCCAAATGATCCACGCTCCAGAGGAAATTGCTAAAATTCTTCGAGATGAGACGTATTCGCGAGCCACCGAAAGCTTCCCATCTTCCGCCTTCTTTTCCTCTCCATTCGGCTCCATCGTCCCATCCTTGTGTCTTGCCTTATCTTCATTCTCCCCTCTTCGCTGCTACTTCTTTCCAGAAGAAACGAATGTCGCTCTAACAGACACGTTACCTTTCGTTCTTGTGGCCAGAAAGGAGGTTTGTTGGGTTATAGAAAATTGATCTGTTGTTACAGTATACATCTCAAAACAATAGTCCTATGTGAGTGGAAAGTAAAGGAAAAAAAGAATTTTTAAATTAGAAGATAGGAAGGCCAGCACACGTAGGAAGCAAATCGATGAACGGGGGCTTTAGAATGCTTGACTGTTTAAAAGAGGCATGGATGGAGGAGTTTTGAAGAAACTTAAATAGCGTTGAAAAAAGAAAGAACATAAAAGTATGAAAACTGCGTGTTTTTGGTGGTTCCGTTGGAAAGCATAATGGCGGGAGACTATTGTTCGCAGGAAATTGATGACATTATGCTCATCCGAGAGGCTGAAATTAAAACTCCAGGCGCTCGCAATACTTTGGCCACGATTTGGGAATATCGCCGGATAGGATAAACTCAATAATATCATGACGGCTCGTCAACACGTCTCAATGGGCAACCTTGTAGAATTATAGAGCATTACGCGGACGGTACCAGAGAAATTCGATAACAACACAGTGTTTCATTACGCGTGGCTCGATCGTCTTAAGTATAGAACTGATATCGTGAAAAAGCGCAATTTTTCGTCGACATTATACGATATCGTAATCGCATCAACGAACCGATATTAAAGACGTTCATGCATCCCAATTAATCGATAACGCGTAATCGATCGCTCGATGCGTCCCCATCGAGCAAACGGACACGCACGAGTTGGATGATTTCGAATCGCTTTTCTAATTATTCGGCATCAAAATGGGAAAAATGCTTCTCAAGTTTCGTCGTGGTACGCTGCTTCTTTGTCTCTCTCTCTCTCTCTCTCTCTCTCTCTCTCTCTCTCTCTCTCTCATTTCGTGGAATGTCTCTCATTTAGTAAATCATTCCCAGCTCACACGTTTCCTTCCTACCCAATTTTCATTTGATTCGACGTGTATCTCGTTGCAAGAGAAATTCGCCGCACAGCCCCAAACTTTCTCACAACCGAGCTCAACTTTACGTAGGTGGAGAAGAGTAGAAGGGGCGTTTTCTATCGCCACTCGATATCAAACGGTGTTCCTGTTGCGCAAGTCGCAGGACGTTTGTCTTTGATGGCTGCTTAAATGGAGAAAAAAGGGAAAGCGTTGCTTCCTCTTTTGTTTGCCTGACACCGAGGCTCAGCATAAGTGGGAATGGGGAAACGTGAGGTAAAGGAAGTCGAGAGTGGGGACAGGGTGTGAGAGGTCAGCGAGTGACTCAAAGTATGAAGGACCTGCTGAAGAAACGATTAACGAAGAACTCCGTCGAGCAGTCACCTTGCGAAAGATCCCGCGTGCACGAGCAATAAAAGCAGGGCGAGAGTTCGTGTCGCAGCTCCGCTCTTGCTTGAATTTCCGTGCTGCATCGCCGCCGGGTGCTCCCCTGTGAACCAAGAGCACCACAAAGCATTAATTATTACTAGTTAGCGGATTAGCCCAAGACGGAAGGAGGACATGGGAAAAGCCACGGGCTCCTCCTCCCTCGAGAGAAAATCGCTAAGGACTATCATGTTAAAGCTTTATGACCATGATGGCTCCTGTGAATGGCTTATTATGATATTTTCTACCGTTCTCATGCCATCACTCTTGTCTCCTCTTACATCCTCTCTCACAACTTGTCTAATCGGAAGGAACTCTCTCACTCTCTCGTCTTCCTTCTGCATTGTAAAAGTATTGCAGCAGTTGTTTTCTCAGTAGTTATTTTCCAAGGCATTTTTACCCTCCACTGTATCTGAGCTTCCTACTCCTAGTTCAGTTCGAGAAGCGCGTTTTCCTACGTGTATAACACGAAGTCTTTCGTGTGGTTGCGATCGTTTTTAGGCTTTTGAATTATGAAATTTCGAAGCAACAGTGTCCTCGGTAGCTCGTCTGCAGGGAAGCTAAGATCCCGAAGGACCCTCACATTATTCATAACCGAACTATACGAAAAGCGTTCACCGACGATAGAAGCGCACATTTTTTGGTGAAACGTGCACTGGCATTTTATGAAAAAAATGGACGGTTTTCAAAAGAGCAAGAGGTCGAGCCAAGAGAGTGTTGGGATATAAGAGGATGAGAGGCACGAAAGGTCGAAAAGTGAAGGCTAAGAACGCATCTGATAGCGGGATAGTAGAAACTGTCGAAGATCGAACAATGGGATTGTATACACGGATTTGGAGGATCGAGGGATACTTTAACTTTACGTTGAAGAGAATCGATGAAAGAGCGAAACGAGTTGGATACTGATATGAACGAATTCATTGCAATTTTCAAATTCAATTTTACTCGCACCAACGGCAGTCATTTGCGATTTTATGTTTCCGATGAAAAAATCCTATTGTTCCTATTGTCCGGGTACACCTTATTTTACCGAGTCGCCCGATACAACCGGCAATAAATGTTCCTTCGTATATCTTTAGAACGATTAAAAGAGAATCGCTATTAACCTCAAATTGCAATTCCGGCAGCAAGCTCATTACTGTACCCACGGTATCGGAAAAACTTCCCATTGACCACGGCCATTATACAGTGACGCATCAATAGCTTAATAAAAGGAAAAAGATAAAAAATGAGAAAAGCAAGAGCACGTATAATTTAATTAGCTGCCTTAGGCAAACCGACACGCGTTATATGGCCTCTGTTCCCTCGTTGCTGATTGTCATTCGTAAGTCCTTTCATTAAACATAATGAGTACGGCAGTCCGCCAATGCGATTCCTACTCTCATTAGCTGTCCTCAAAGTGTATCGAGGACCTGGATGCCGAGTGCGGACACAGCATTATCCCTCGCGTTCCTCTCGATCCCTTGCTTGTTGTTGCTCGACCGCGTATACACGTTGTCGTCCATGTAGATTTATGATAGACCTACAAGGGATGTCTCTGGAAAGTTCAGCAATCCGACTCACTGCAGACTTTAAATGTAAACTTTGCGATTACGAGAAAAATCTATGTCCAGTCTGCGTACAATAGGTTATCAGGTAGACTACCGACTACTACGCTGCGCTTGCGAGCGACGTATCGCGTATGCCCTACTGGTAGTCTGGTTTATATACCGACCGTGCGAGCTACCAAATCTTGCAACCACCTTCTGCAACCTCCGGCTAATCATTGCCATCTTACACGAACGTGAGAAACCATATGAGAATACGTGCCCATCTAGTTAGTAAGAATTAGTACTGAGGATGGCATCGGTTGACGAGTAAATAAGGCAAAGCGAAAGAACGAGAGAAAGTGAAAGAAAGGTGATGCGTATACTGGGGGGAGCGTACAGCCCTTCCTCTGGCACTTATTGAATCAAAAGTCACGGACGCGGAACGAGTGAATGAGAGGGTTTTCGAAAGTTCGATGTTTCTCGGTGACAGATGTATTGAAACTTTCTCATGGTCCTAGGAGAATTGGGTGGGCCGAAAAGTGCCGAATTGACAAAGCGAATCGCGACAATTAAGCAAGGAGCTCATTGCAAACCTGACTTCTGCAGGCACTCGAAGAAGCAGGGCTATTGTTTTCCTGTTTTCGTACAGAACATTCTCAATCCACGTCTACAGCATCTCTAATCCATACTCCGAAGCTCCCTCGAGACTTTCCAACCCCTCGGTAAATCTACCACGAGACAAGCTAACTCGAGCAGTCGATTATTCCAACGCGATAGGCACTAGTACTACTACTACCACTGGCAGTAACGCTACCTGCTTCGACCATAGCACCGTTCGCCGGATACATTCGAACCGATAGCGAGCAGTCGACTTGAAGAAATGCGATTGTTCTTGTAAAAGGGGACTCTGTCGAATAAACTGCGAGACGCGTCTTAATCTTCCTCTTCCACTGTGTCAATCCTCTCCTGTCCCGGCACGTCTGATAAAACAGTGGCGCTGCCAATATTTTTCTTTCCTCGCGTTCCTCGCACCGGCTATACTGTACAACACTGGGTAGGGGCGGGAGGGGCGCAGTTCATTTCTCACGACGAGCTCGAAAAATACGAGCACTGATTTAGCATTGTCGTGAACTGTCGCCGCCATTCCTCAGAGTGGTGTTTAATTATGCGCTGCACGTACCGCGATGCCGGAGCAGCTATGTCAGACGCCTTTATCATACGACGGCAACCCTTTTAACACTTTTACAACGAACCGCCACATTCTCCTATAGCTGCAAGTAGCCATAGCGAGACCCTGGCCCACTGCAGTGGTCATGACCATCTCGCTACCCTTTGTCTGGACTGGTACAACTAGCAGAAAGCTTTTTTCTCTATAATTCGAGCATACTCGCGAAATTCGTCAAGGATCTGTTTTTTTTTTTTTTGGCAGCATTTTCAATGGATTACAGCGAGAGAAGAAAAACATCCTGCTCAGCATCGACTTTTGACAATTGTTTCGGAACGAACAACCATTTTCAAACTGACTTAATAACGTTGCTATTGTTTTGTGTGAAAATGAATTGCAAAGACGGCTCTTCTGCTCCGATCAGTCAACGAAAAGATGTTTTGAATTTTTTATTTAGGATTCGAAACGATTGGAACTGCGCTCGATAAAATGAACAAAGAGTTCGCAGAGTATCTAACAAGATCAAGAAGAGCCAGAAATGGGATCTGGAAGAAGATAGGAAGGCCGCTTGTTTCCAGAATAATGTAGGTATATAGTACGTGTGCGTACATACCTAAATCGAGGCGTATGCTCTCCTAGCGAAAGGGGCTTGGGAGTAGAGCTGACAGGGATTTGCATGGGACAATATCTCGACTGATTTATCCCTCGAGCTAGAATTTCGGTGGCAGAGGAGAGGAAGAGCGAGAAGGAGAGTAGACTTATCTGAAGGATTTATTTCGGCGGTGCCTTACGCGGTGCCCAAAATGGAACGAGGAAGACCCGGGGAGCTCCTGGCGGCAGTACCGTCGCCGCGACTGGCGTCGTTCCTTGCCGCGCGTTTATGACTCCTGCCCTTTAGTTTATCGGCGTCCATGAAATTTATGGGAACCGTAAACTTAGACTCCTCTATTTACTTCGATTGCCAAGACACCGGCTACTCGTACTTTGCCTTCGTCGGCATCATTCTTGCCTTCTGGACTCATCGGCAGAATCACAACCACATCCGAGAACATTACACCTTTAACTTGTTACTTCTGTCCATCGGCCGATAATCCTATATCTCCTATTCCACGTTTTCAGCAAAGTCAGGCTCGACCAAAAGGGCGACCGCCGTCAAAGCCAATCCTTCTTTCGATTTTCTTTATCCCTTGGTCAGAAATGACTTTTCCAACAGCTCGTAAGAGAGTTATCTGAGCAAAGGCTGGATATGGCCACCAGGATCGACAGTGTCGCTACGAATTGCTCTTGTTTTTCTCACGGTAAAACGAAAAAAAAAAAGATATAATGAAAAATTCAAGAAAATATGTACTCGTAAGGTTACAGCGTGAGAACGGAAGGCACAGAGATATATACAAGACTCACCCACCATTGAGTACGTGTACGAGGACACTGGCCGATTCTGCCGTGGAAGGTGCACAGGTGTAATTTCCAGAATCAGCCGGAACTGCGCGGGATATCAAAATTCGTGAGGTTCGCGTTTGCTTTTCCGTCACAACGTTGATCCCACCTCGTTGACTGTAGTTTATCACGTGCTCGCCCCTGTACCTTCGAATTTGAAAAAAAAAAAAAAACAGCTTGCGTCAGTTCACCGTCGCAGCGTTACCCGCCATCCCACTGAATAGATAGTATGAAAAATGTGCCCTCGCATTTACCGATGGTAATCGTCGACGTTCAATTTACCGAACTGGATAGCTCACTTGTTATACGTATAATAATCAACGTGTCAGCCACATGCTACTAAAGCGTTTGGGATTTGTCGTGACGTCTCTGCCGTATAAGCATGTGTCTGGAAGGCTACCGTGACAAGCGAATTAGACTCACCAGAAAATGAAGGATGGCGGTTCTGGTGTTTGCAGTACGACGCAGGTCAAGTTGATATCGCTTCCGCTCCTGATGTATAGTTCCGGGTTTCCAATGATCATTGCCTTCGACACTGTGCACACAAAACCTCTGTTTTCGATATGCACATAAGTAAACGTGTGCCTAACGTAGGACTTTTCCCTTCTCCCTTTAGGATGCTACTCGGATTACATATTTCACTGAATCGCCCCGAAGGAACGAAAGAGAAGAAAAATCCTTCTTACTAACCGACTACGCTCAATCTGTAGGCGAGACTGATCTTCGGCTCGGTCGATACTTGACATTCGTATGTACCGCTGTCGCGGACCTGCGGCGAGCTGATCTTGAGAGTCCACTCGTCGCTCCCGTCGCTGTGTAACGATTGAAATCGCTGATCATTCGTGTAGGTCAGGATCCCCACAGTCAGGATATGCAGATCTCTTTTCCTAATCCAGGAAACCTACGTATACGTCACATTAAGTTAAATCCGCGTACGGTAGGTATCAAGTATTTATCTACCATTAAATCAACTCTTTCTATCGTGTTAAAGCACTACGACGTTTCTGATGAATATTTACAAGGCATTTAAATACTAGAGATTATCGTCGCTTCGGCAAACTTCGGAAACGTAATGCTTTACTCGAAAATCATTTTGATCCTCATTTTTCGAATGGATAGAAACGCCAGACTTGCGGACGAGCATACGGCGCCAGGGAAATTTGATTTGTTGTCGATTACGATCGACTATTGCCGATTCGAACGATTTAGGCGAGAGAGGCCAACTCCGCACGTCACAGAGTGATGCATGGTAAGGCAGATAACGCAGAACGTCACTATTCAGCGGATGCCGCGACCCGGCCATCCGGCCACGCATCTAGCCGCGAAATTACTCGAGCCCGAACACCCCCTTTAACGATCCGTTCATCGCTTTCGAGCTGCCCGCCTAACGTCGTAGTTATCCTGGCGCCGTTCGCTCGCTTTGAATATATATATACGAGCTTCGAAAAGAAAATATAATAGTTCAAAAAGCTCAATGAAGGAAATGCTTTCGTCAGACTTTGATGTTACGTCAATGTGCATCGAACTACAACCCAAGTAAAATATCGATGAGTTAACGCTGGGAAAAAAGGATTTACGTGAGAAACGTAAAATCCAATTTCTCCGATTCCAATCGCGTGTACATCTAATTCGACACTAACGAACTGACGGGATGAAGAAATATTACATCGAAACTCTGTGCGTCTTAATCCTTACGTTAATCTCTTGGAAATAACCAATATAATATTAATATGGATTGATTTACTTTATGAAGAAAGTTAATATCAGTGAGCAAGACTTACCGCGCGATCACCAAGATTTCGTACTCTGCAGTGTAAATACGCCGACTGACCAACCGTCGTCGTAGTGTCTCTTCTTGTCGTGTTGTCGAAGTAGGGTTGACTGAAGGGCTGCTCCCAAAAGGAAGAAGGATGATGCTCGACGACCGATCCACCGCTACCGCCTTTGGCAGCGCATTCTGCGACAGAAGGACAGAGGCACTTTCTCAACGAACGAGATATGAAATCTCATCAGTTACAGATAAAGAATCGATTAACCGAATCCTATCGACTTTGCTCCTTGGAGAGCTCTATATTCTGAGAGATACTATACAATCAATAGCTGTCTAATGCCAGGAAAGTGATAGCCTTGAGTTCCATGTCCGTTCCAATATGTCCCACTAGGTATATATGTAACATGGGCCTGGCTATGCCCTAGAACGTACGTTATCATAGGTATGATATCCATCCCCGATGCTTGCTGCGTGTTAAACCTACTTATTCGAGCAGCCAGCAGCGCTACCCTATGGCAGCTGCCATTTGACTTCGATGTAAATTTGGTTGCTCCAGTTTCTAGTGGTGACCACCAAGAACCTTACTTGAGGAGGGTCAGAGGGAAAAGAACGTGTGGTTCGCGCTCTCGGTCATGTTGATTCCGCCCGCCAGTTTATCTTGCTAGTTGCGACGTAGACTAATGTTGGTTCGTTGATCGATAGGAGACGACGAATCGAGACCCGCTGACCACGCTTTATTCCGTAATAATATCGATTGCCGAAAAAAAATCAAATGATGATGCTCAGGGTACTGCTGCTGCTGCTTCGGTCTGCCAGGAAGTATACGCGCGACTACCCGACAAACTTATTGAGAAAGTTCTTTGAACGCGATATATATATATGTATATATACTTTCGTTTCCGCTTCCACCAACATTTACATTTTCATTTTCAGGTTCAAATTGAAGTGCTAGCAAGAGAAGGAATGGGAGGAACTTATTAAAAATCGAGCTGTACCGGCACGAGCTTGCGCGAAGTAAGTTTGGCTAAGTAGGGAAACCCACTTTGGAAATACTCGAGTCACTCGAAAGCCCGGTGCCGTTTGCTAATGACGTCAGACCACAAGCATCCGCTGGTTGATGGATGTCTACCCGGCGAGCCCGAAACGATGGGCACTGCCAGAGGCTGAACCATGTTCTTTTTACTTGGAACTTATAGATCGACTCTGACCTTCCGGGCTTTTATCCTTCTCTTTGGCCTTTCAGTCGCCGAGAACACTTTACTTGCCCCTGTCCCTATTCATATCCATATCCCTGCTGTCCTTATTTCTGTAACCGATCCTAAGCTCCGCGGCATAACAACGTTTCATTAGTTATTCTCCGCGGTGTGGTTAGACACGTTAAGCGTCCGACACGAACGTGGTAGAAATTTGAAGATGTGGTCCAGGGCGCGCGTGCACATATGTCGAACGGACCTTTGCCCATTGAACTTTCGACAGCTCGAGCCTTCGACCCACAGAGTGCGTGACTACGTATACCAAGAAGCTCAACGAAAAAAAAAAGGAAAACTCGCGTGATCGATGTTCTGTTCAGTGATTTTTTTCCCTGACACTTTCTCTCTCGTCTCTCATCATGTTCATCTTCGACTAGAAACCTTCCGACGCGATAAAAAAAGAGCCCAAGTTTTCCCATTTTCATCCGAAAATCTTCAATTGTATCGACCGATCGCATCATATCGATCAAACTCAGTTGCAAGTGACTGCGTACATCGAAATAACATTAAACGAATGAAAGCAAAGGTTTCGAATTTCCGAATATCGCTATTTTTTGGATTTAATCGACAGAACTATTTCTGAAAACTGTCAGGAACTCTAGAACTCTCCCGGAGACAAGCAGAACTCTAATGTTCTTTTATTAATTTTCTTAATGAGGGGCCAACTTCACGGAGGTCGGGCTCTGTCGCCGACCCAGACAACTGCGACGTGACTTTGACATTTGATACGTAAAACATTAAACTTTTAGTACAAAACCTGAAAAAAAAGTTTTTTTTTTCATACTAGAAATATCGAACAACAAAGTACTCGAAATGTCATTTCAAAATAAATGTAATTACAGAAGCTGAAGTTACAAAGTGACAGCCTGGTAGGAGTAGGGTTAAACGAGACCTTTAAGATGAGGGTGTTACAAAGAAAATATCATCAAGTAAATTGAACGTTAGTTTTTCTTGGTCTCGTTTGGTCTTTCTGTAATTGTCAGCAAGTTAAACCCACTCCATTAGGAAACAAAGTTTAAGCTCACGAAGTTAGATGAAAATACGCCCTCGACGGGGCCTACGCGAAACTCATCACTGATAAAGAAGTACAATGCGCGAAAGATTATAATACATAGGGCGCGTCGATTGTTCGACCTAATCCGAACCAATGTCACTGTGACTTCGACAATATCCCCCGAAACTCCCGTTTGCGAATGCCGGCACATTTATCAGTAATTTATAAAGGGACTCGGCGGTGAAGCTCGTAGTCAAAGCGTAATTGCCTTCTTTCATTATGATGCAGATAGGTATGCTAAAGTCAAGCACGTTTGTCGTCTCGTTTTATCGTTTCGATCTTTCGAAAATTCTTCTGTCCTTGCATTGTCTCATCTCGCAACGCGTACCGTGCAGTATGCATACAACGTCAAGCGACGATGGCAACAATTACGACGGTTACGAGTCTCTGCGGGCTTGACAGCGAGGACCAGGACGATCATCGTTAAGCGAAGATGTACGACTCGTCGTTACCGGGCCAAAGTGATGCGTCTTCTCCTCTTTCATCCGTCATTCACAATCCTCCGAAATGATCTGTTGTATATGCGCTCTATACTGGCAAGCCAAAATCTTGGCAATCAACGAGACTGAAGCCTCGAGGCCAAAAGGGAAAAGTTATTAGACTTTTTAATGAACAGCAAAACTTGCGAAAAGGAAGAAACTGCCAATTTTTAAAGAGTCTCAGAGTTTCTTTCGGAAGATGGTAAATCGAAAGAGGTAAGACAAGGATGACGATAGGCCAAAGAATATGACGTGCCACCGCTACGAATAATAATATAGCTTCAAATACCGAGGGAGTAAAAGTGCACAACAGCTGCTGGACGAAACGGGCCGAGTTCCCACAAGGGGCAGAGACATCGGGTCGATGAGAAACTGGGAAAGATTTGGAAGCTCGTCAAAAAATGTTTTGAGAATACTCCAACTTAGTAGAACATAGCGAGTTTTGGAAAAACGTAAAGGAGTCATCGGTGGAACGTTAAGCGGCCATTCTTGTTCGGCTTAGATCACCAACTTCATACATTCTACTTTGAATATCTAGTTAATTGTGACTCTCAATAAAGATAACCTAGTAAATTTCGATGCACACTTTTTTACGGAGAAATGCATCTCGCATTTTTCGCGTTGTCTTTGTTTCCCTTCTCATAATCTTTTTCTCCGAATAATTTTATCATAGCAGCCGTTTCGGTGGCAGAGTACTATATGTATATAAAACATACGTTGCACTCATTAGTCATTGCTATCTAGATCTACAGAGAACTACGCACCCCGCTCTGGTTCTATTTCAGTTGTGGCAATAATAATAATAATAATAATAATAATAATGGGAGTTTATTGGAATTTTTAGGCGCGCGACAATGGCAGGAAGAGATATAGCGAACACCCATATACTCAGAACAGAATACGACTTGTAATGAATATAGATATGGATACGTAGAGACTGGAAGCATAGAAGCAGGGAAGCACATACTACCGGGAGCCTCGACAATAGGTAACGTCAAAAATATTGCTTCCAATAACAGGCTGGGATATTTTCTGGGGTAGAATATGCCGATCGACGGAATTTTAATAAACGAGTTTTGCGGAGCACCGGCACCGGCGACTAGTCGAGCGTGAGCAAAGTTATTTCTTTCCTTTGAGAATTTTAGGAATCCGAATATTCCTGCTGGTTAAGATGTCGCAAACCATATCTTACGATTCTTTGTGTTCTACGGTGTGGGTGATTCCGAATGTGAATTTAGCAAACGCACCGCAGTTGTCCATAGTCAAATGACATGATTGTTGCATTGAATTCGTATAGGCTTTCGTCTAAATAGTGCGTTCGACCTCGATATAACTATAAATGGCCATAGAGCGCATCGCATGTCTCGTGTCATTAGGGACAATAGGGGACACCAGGGACACGGCACGAGAGATTGTCGTTACGTCGACACAATCACGAGGTTCGAAAATCCCAGGTAGAAACGTCAGAAAGAGGAAAGGCAGTACAAATTTATTTTATGCTTTAGGTATCAAGAGTTTAGAAGAATCAAACGTTTAAAGTACTAGGGCGTTGGATTTTGAGATAGCGAGAGAACGTGAATTTTTAGAATAGGGTGCACAGCTGTTTTGAATGGAGGTCCAGTTCCTGGTGTCCCGATCATCTCGAGACTATACGGAGACTCGAGCCGTCAGAAGAATCTACCGTGAACGGAAGACACAAATTGACACGTCGATCGTTCAAGTTTTAGGTTGTTTCACGTACAACCTGGAATTGGACAGCTACGACGGTTTGTGCTTCGCGTTTCGTCTTGGCGGCTCTTGGCTTCGAGATCCGAGATCGGCTGAACTGGGCCGCGTTTTCCTCGAAGTCCGTGGCAATTTCGTCAATTCGCAGCACGAAGAGGCAGGAACAAGAACTGTCACGGGCAAACGTTCGGTCAATTATAAGTTACTTTGGAACGTGCCTCGCGTACGAAGAATCGAGATCTCAGGACAGAGAATCTAAAGATAAGACATGGACGCTGAGAGGCACGAGGGGAAACTATGGAATTGCTGATGAGAGCTGCTACTACTGCGCTAGCACCAAGTAAACAGTACTTTGGTATTAAACCGAAAAGCTACCAACTTTTCCCTTTCATCTCGCTTCCTCTTTGTCTCGCTCATTTACTCATTCGTTCTCCATGAGCGGTGATGTCTGCGTGGCCACCTAGTTCTACAATATTACGTATAGATAATCGCGCGCCACCGTACCACATCCTACATCTAGTCAAATACTCGGTCCAACATCCAGCATCCCCGTTTTCCGTCGACCTTAGCCCTTTTCGTATCTTTCATCCTGGCCATTTGCGATTTCGCTGACGTGATATTGAAAGAGTATCATGAAAATTCACCAAATACAATGGAATGAAGGCGATAGCTTCTGCG